TTTATTCTACATATTTCTGAAGGTCTGTCGCATGTTTAAAGTATCGAGATGGCCTTCTCAGCCAGTTTCCAGTAGCTTTGGTTTTGCTTGTATCGTTATATCAGACACAGGGTCGCATCTAGTGTCACTAGTCGCTCCTATAGCGTCATAATCATGCGCACATGAGCACACATAAGCACTGCAAAACACAGGCACCCCACGAAACTGTCTTGCAACCCCGCCTGAACTGAGTGAGGAATGCTTAGAGTCAATGGATGACAGAACACCAGTTTCAAGTCTTGGGGTGACGATGTTTTTTGTCAGACTGGGACTTCCGCAGCTGTTTATGGCCTTCTTTTCTTTACGGCCTTAAGTTTTCTTCTCTGCCGCAAGTACGCAGCCACTCACCTTTGTGCACAATCTTATAGCTACTCTGATTGCATGTGAGGGCTTTCAATTCGCTGGGGCGCAGTGTGCTGCGGCCGGTTGCAGAGCACCTTCTAACAACAAATAGGCAACTGGGGCACATTTTGGCCCTGACTACACAGCATCGTGAGACATTTCAAAACTTCACGCTATATCGTTCTTTTTTTAATACGATGTACAAAATGCTTGGGTCCATATATAAGAACACCAACCTATGCTGAGTGAGGTGGCTCATAGAAAGAGGTTACGCTAGACGAAATAGCGAAGTTCATTGGACATCTGGTTTATAGAGGTATTAATCACATGTATTCATCTATATTTGAACATCTGGAGGCTTTTATTGAAAAAAACAAACAAATATTTACTGACAAAAGTGCACGAGTTCGCTTGTGTCTGAAGAAAGACCAATCAATGCTTCACAGAATGGTAGGAGCAATGAAGCAGCACCTTGATTTCCGATTTTTTTTTGTCTATGCAAATAGAAACATTTTCTACAACATTAATTATTATTGATAATATTTCTGGATCGTTTAATTTCAAAATGTATATTCTGAAGTTTCTTTGTTTTGAATATTTTTGCATTTATACTGCTTTTTATTGCACTGTTTTCCAGATAACAACCAAAAATTACACACTTTTCACATTTTTATTTATTTAAAATATCTTTGGTGCTGTACAAGATAAGTTTTTGAAAATAGCATTGCATTTAGGAAAATTTTGTATGCTGTAATGCGTCCTGGAGTAATTTTCAAACTTGCAAAAATAATATTTTTGAGACATATGAAAAATAGCCATTTTCGTGCGGTAACAAAACAGTTAATGTATATTTGCAAAGCTTTACTGCATGACAGACACAAATACCTTCAATTACATATCACAACACTTTGCAAAGGGCATCCGAAATATCAACTCCCTTAAGGACCTTAAAAAGTAGTTCACACTTTAGGCACTTAAGTACGAGTTATATTTTTAGTAATAACTACAAATGTCATACTGTGTTGATGTGTGCCAACGCAATAGATAGCTTTAGCGTGTTATTAGTTAATGACTACAAAATTGCCAGAATTGAGGATAACAGTAACATCACTGCTGATCTTGCAATAGACCGTCTAACTACAATCAATCTGAAAAGTCCACGTGCGAATGTTCTAATAAAAGAAAAACTGCAAAGGAAATGCATGTTAACGATATTGCCACTACTTTACACAAGCAGTTAAACAGGGTATAGCAGTATGAGCTTCCAGCATTCTCTGATTAAGCTTTGTGCCAAAGGCTATGACATGACTATTGCTGTTGCTTCCCCTCAAAAACCTGATGTACTAAAAGCGAGTGACCGAGAAAATACCCTTTTACATAAAAAGACAATAACGATACACACTAAAGCTGTTTACAGTAGCAGAACAGTACTGGCAGAGCACATCAGCAAATGTTTCACGGCAACTTAGCCAACCATCTAGTTTCTACAGCCATGGCATTTCGGAAAGCTTTAAATGTCGGTGAGACTGTCACCTATTGGGTATTCTGGTTGTGTTGCTCCAAAGAACATTCTTCTTTTAATGCCTGCTGTTTATCTAACCTGTGTACAACAGCACATCGCCCGCATGCAAACATGCTGTTCCACCAAAATAAAAAGCTGCCATTCTCACCCTGGCATGAGCAGCTTGGTCCCCGTTTGCAAGGAATCCTTGAATCACCTGAACGTCCATCGTGCTGGAATGTCTGGTTCTGCAATTGGAGATCAGAGTGAGATCCTTGACTATTTCTTCAAGGACAAGCACATGTTATTTTACTGTGAAAACTGCCAGTCATTTATTTGTAAATAAGTTTAGTACAACAGACTAAGTTCAGCATTCACGATGAATTTGATTAGATGTTAATGCCGTTTACAGGTAACAGCATTTACCCAACAAGTAAGTTTCCCGAACTTGTACACATGCAACTTGTGTAGCCTCGCGACAGGTGGGTTGGAAAAAATTTGTTGATCCTTTAAAGCAAAACCAAATCACTGTTAGGGTTCTATTCAATAGCTGTTGTTAACATTTCGACGGATTTTTGATGTACAGCATGATAGTTGAAGCAATATTGGCAACTCTATTATCTTTCCAAAAATTCGCCTTGATGCCACCTCCAGTTTGCCCCATTCATAAGGGCTAGTCTTTTCTTTTCCAGTGTGCCCTTGTTTTGATGGAGCGCTGCCGCAGTGGCAAGGTACGAATCTCATATGCGATACGGCTGGGCACGTAGGTAGGATAACCGCTGGTCGTTAAGGATTCCCAGAGAGGGCAAACGCACAAAGGGGAGACAGAAAGTCAAGTGGGCCAATGAGATTAAAAAGTTTGCAGGTATAATGTGGCAGCAGAAAGCACAAGACCCGGTTGATTAGCAGATCATGGGAGAGGCCTTTGCCCTGCAGTGGGCATAGTCAGGCTGATAATGATGCCATATTTATCTGCCAGTTACGGAAGCAAATACTGAAGTTCCATTAGTGAAGAAGAAGAATAATAAAAAAAGTGCAATGAACCAACGAAAAACGTTGGCATCAATTGAGGATGCCATTTTGTATACTCATGTAGATCAGAAACACAACACTGCAATAACATTCACTACAAATGTCATTTACTGCAAATGGCATTACATGTGCCGCACGACAGGGGTATTAACCCACGTCTGTCCGAGTTCATGTGATACTTTCGATCAGTGTAGAGTCAATGCTCATATACATTACCATCTGGTTCAATTGGACTTCAGTGGTGAATAAGAAAGCAATAAGATGACTAGAAATTTCTATTTCAGCGTAGCACTCTCCAAGTGAACATTAGATGTAGCAGTTGCAAGACAGCACACGCCATACTGCTCTCTGAAATTATCAAATAAATGCATATCTTGTGCTTGAAGCAGTAAAAACTGTGCTGCATTTCACTCAGGGCCTCTCCCACCTTCTTTTTCATGTGTATGATGGCTTCGCAAAGAATTTTCCTTGATAAGCTGATTTGTTAGGTTTTCAGCACTCCACATTGTCTAGCGACTGCACCAAACTTCAGGCCAAACGCCGAGTACAAGAGGTTAACGCACTCTCTCGTCTCCAATTGCACGCATCAAACAGTCCGCAGGTTCCCCCGAAGATGATCTGTGTAGGGGAGCTCTTGAACAGGCAAGGCATTTGGCCAGATAGCTATTCGCGACAATTTCCGTGCGCAGCTATAAACCTACTTGGGCTTATCTACCTAGCAGGGAAGCTGACTTAACTACAGACCGCATTGGTTTCCCGCAAACGATTGTATAACCATGCTTTGAATTTTGCTTCCGCAACTATCTGCGGGTAATTGTTTTTGCGTAAATCCAGCCTGGACGCCAGTTTCTGTTCTATGACATTCGATATCAAAGCGGCCCCTGTCTCTCCCCCCCTTTTTGTTGTTTTAATTTGATTCTCACAAACTATTCGCTAATCTCGAAACGGTCAACGAGGGCGAGGTAACTACCTGCACGAGATACGAATGAAGTTTTCACTGTCACCACTTCGCAGCGACTCCTAAACAGGAGCCCGGCACATGTTCGTAAACACGAAGTCCAACATCAGCCGCGCTGACGCAACGACAGCTGTGTCGAGAGATCCATTACGGCGCAGGCAAATCGAATGCTCATTCGAAACGCTCAAGCAAGTTTTTCAGAAGCCGCGCTAGGATCGAAAGTGCGCCGCCAGTCGAGAAGTGAAGCTGCACACTGTAATCTCCAGAAATGACCCAAGGCCATAATCAGACTTTCTCTTCTCAAGACAAATGCAGCCGTTTAACTGATATGAATTGACCCTTAGAACGGCGGCAGAACATTTCATAATAAACAAAAAATGAAAAAAAAAAACGCAAGCTACACGAAAGGGTTTCGCTGAAGCTAACGAACTACACCCGAAACTGAACTCGGCTCCACACTAGAATTATGAGCGTTATACGAATAACGGAGGCGCGGACACGATAGCGGCCGCTGAAAAAAGCAAAAAAAAAAAAAAAAAAAAAACGTTGCCCGAAGGCATGGCATGCCACAACCATCCAAATTCCAGGTAAAGCCCACGTGCAATCCAAACGTAACAAAGTGCGGCGGTGCATTCCTCCGGACGGTTTTCATTAAACCCACGTTTACGGCTTTAAGCTACCACGTAGCACTACTTCCGTGCCGATGCTTACTTACGGTCATGTTTTAACCACGAAGTCAGCGAAGGACTTCGGCATCCTCACCGCCGCCGACGAGGCACATGCGATATCGCTTCCGATACCATATAGAGAAACACTGTCTGCACTTCAAAGACACCCAGTACAGCTTTGAGATGTCTACTGCGACGCGCTGGTAGTGAAAAAACGTTCACTTTATATTAAACGTAAACACGCGGGCACATTAAAGTCGATGAATTAAAATCCATGCTCTGCCACCTCAATAATAAAACGCCATGACTCGTTGACAAGTTCCGCAATTCCGCAGCAAATAAAATATTGTTATAAATTATTAAAAAACAAATTTTGTTAAATATACTTATTTGTTTTATTTGCAATAAAATTTTATTATGAGAACTTACGTACTTTTATCACTTTATATTGAGTTGTATTTAGTTGCTGCGAGACCACTACAATTCCTTTCTGTGCACACCGCCAGCAAAATGAAGGCCAGCGGTTTGGTAAGTTATCAATTCTCAGAAAATTACTTGTGAAGTTCACTTCTCGAGATCGAATAAAATTGATCAGTACAGCGTAGAGTTTGTGGGATGTGCGAACACTTGCTAGGTTGTTCCGCCAAGCTATTTTATAAGGCTAGTTTGGTGCCACATGTCCACGTGTGGTGGACCTGTATGCTAAGCCTAAGACACTGCCATCTGAATCCCGGCTTTGCCTCTGCATTCTAATTGCGAGTCTCTACAATGCAAAGCTCCTGTTAGCTTCGTTACTGGTGCATTTGCGTAAGCCGGTGGAAATGGGGCAACTCTGTATGTGGACTGACGGCTGAAGTGTCTTCCAGTTGCCGGGCTACCTGTTGAGTTGGTATTCGATGTAATCATAGCACAGGCACCGTGTTGTAAATAATTGCTTAATACACCTGCTGGTGAACCTGCTAGATATCTGTAGACGCAGCCAAAGGGTCGATGGAAACCCAAATTATAGAAATATGATTGTTGACTTCCACGAGAACGGACATCGGCATCATTGCTACACCGTCGTCCGACGAATGTGTGCATTTTTTGGGCAAGAACTGTCGTTTAAACAGCGGAACAGCTAATGTTACAGAACGTTGCACTGATTTGCAGCATTGACAGATAAATGCACCGACTTCGTAAAACATGAACTGGATAATTATGCTGTTGTTAATGCGACCCCGTGGGACAGAGACCATTTTTAAACTGGTTCCAAATCGTTGCTAGCGCTCTGTCGTATTTTAACTGCCTACATTTTCCATTTTGTGCGCTCGCATTCGGAAGGATCAGAAACAGGTACTGTCTGTTTGTCACCAGTGGCTTGTCCGTGTCTTACTTTAACGAATTATCGCGCGATGTGTCTTTACAGCTTAAGCAGTATGAAATCATCGGGCGGCATCTGCCAACCGAAAAGAACAAGTACCCCGCCCTGTACAAGATGATGATCTTCGCTCCTGACAAGGTAGTTGCCAAGTCCCGCTACTGGTACTTCACCCGCAAGCTGAAGAAAATGAAGAAGACGAACTCTGAGATCGTCTCCATTCGTCGGGTGAGTTGATCGCAGCCTGTCGACCTCCGAAGGCTAAACTACTAATCTTACTGCGCCACTTAAAACCCAGCCTTGGCGTGCACATGCCTTGATTGGTCAGAGGTGACGCTAGAGCAACACGACAAATGTCGCATGCATTTTCTTCCATCATTGTGGATTCTGCACTGAACATTTTGTCGACATTGTAATGGTAAGGAAGTGATGAGACTTCATCACGTTTTCCAATTCATTATTGTTGTTTACTGAATACCCAAACCCACAGTGGCACCCCTGTTTTAGCCAGCTGTAATTTTTTGGCGTGCTGTGAAAGAGAACCATCAAGATATAAACACTAGCTTCTTTAAATTTGAGTGCTTTTGACATTGTAGCTTTTATGTTCGAGAACAATATTGCCACATGATATGCCTCGAAATAGGCATATCATGCCTCTTTCGTGAAGAAACGTGACAATATGACAATCTGCACTGCAATCACCGTGTTGTGGCTATGCCATAGTTATGGCATAAATTCAAGCATTTCAGCTGTGTTTCTTTGATTATTGTAGTAAAAGTGGAACATAGAATTGGCCCTTTTTTTTTTCTTGCTTTAGGCTCTTACAAGCCAGCTACACGAATTCGGATTTGCAAGTTTGGCATATCTTGATAGACCACTGGTGAATCAGATTGCTGCTGTTGTGTTTTTAAAAGCACAGTGTTTTCTGAATTTTCTTTAAGTACTACGACTGAAAATTTTATTTGAGCGTCATGCATTTGACTTTCTATCTCCAAGAACTGCCCATTTAATTTGTATTTCCTGCCTTTTGTGTTGGTGCCAGATTTACGACAAGACTCCGATGAAAGTCAAGAACTTCGGCGTGTGGCTGCGGTACAACTCCCGTAGTGGCACCCACAACATGTACCGGGAGTACCGGGACATGACGGTGTCCGCTGCTGTCACCCAGTGCTGTGAGTGTCTACACTGTGCTCCTGCATTTGGCCTCTTCAACTGCTCTAGGAAATGGGAAAACTGAGTTTCGTGAAAGACAGATGCGTACAAACTAGACCCGGAGCCTACATTGTTGTACAAAGACATTCATAGGGAACATACACTTTAATATTACGAATTCTCAGATGTTCCTCAGAAACAAATTTTCTAAAAGCACCTCAGTGGTGGCGGATAGCATGAGCTTTCTTGCAAGCACAGCATGTGTTGCAGTTGTCAAGGCACTACCAAAAATGCAAAGGTGTGCCTGCTTTTTTGCATAACTCTTTATCAGATACATATATGCCCGTAACAAGGGTCATATAAATTAAGAGGCTTTATTGTCGCATTTAAACTGCATGAGCATTTAGTAGTGCCCTTTTTGTTTATTGCACCCTGTACCGTTTCCAGCATGGGTCTTGTCTGCCTTTGTTGGTCAGAAATGGGTGCAAAAGGAAAAAGCTTTTGTCGCATGCATGTCCACTTTTGTGAATATTGCACTGAACCATTAGCCGACAACTTAAGACAGTCTGATTGGCATGCCAAACACATTCGCTCATGTTTTTGACGTGTGATGTCGATGTTGTTGCTGTGCACATGCATAAACAGTGCCATAATAAATTTTCTTGTAAAACGATTTAAATGGGTGGGGGATGGAGAAAAAAAGCTTGTTTTGTTTGAATTGTATTTCTTGTTGCTAATGTGAGTGGCGCCAGGAAAAATGAAATGACCACTTGCTGCAGATCGTGACATGGGTGCTCGACACAGCGCCCGGGCTTCCTCGATTCAGATAATCCGTGTTGAAGAGATCCCAGCCAACAAGTGTCGGCGACCCCACGTCAAGCAGTTCCACGTAAGCCTTTTCTTTTTATACAAGGGGATTTATCTCGATTGTGGCAGATAGTCGTGTGTTATGGTACTGTTGCAGGCGTGTTATAAAATGTGAAGTTTATGCCGTTATCGAGGTTCATAAGAAGATAGACATGAACTATGTCTATTTTTCAGGCACTTGGTGCATAGCGCCCTATACCGTTTACCAGCTGTGGCCTTGTCTGCCATGGTTGGTCAGAAATGGGTGCAAAAGAAAAAGGCTTTTGTCGCATGCATGTCCACTATTGTGAACATTGCACTGAACCATTAGCTGACAGTTTAATGTTTTGATGATGCGGCAAGTGCATAAGTTTTTAATTTTTGTAGACAGGCGGCTGTTGATGAGATCCATGTCCAAGAGATTGAGGCGGTAAATATGAATACATTTGGAAGTCTTCAATCATTTTCAACTAAATGTAATCATCAATCACAACTGTTAATTCACTTGTTGAATGTTTACAATGTGTGCAGGAATAGATATTTCTCAGAATTCGAATTGCCTGGCATGCTTTATATGGTACTGCTTTGCCAGTGGAATTACTGTGCTATCGGGATTACATTGTACCACTTTTTATATCCAGGACAGCAAAATCAAGTTCCCCCTGCCGTCGAGGATCAACCGGAACTTCCATGCCCCCAGGTTCACAACAGTGCGACCACAGGCAAAGTTCTAGACTCCCCAAGCTTCAAAGGGTTCCCAATAAACTGCTGTTGGCCCGTAACAGTGTCTTGTTTCTGCATGGCTACCTGCCATTGTAGTCTAGTGGTTAGGGCACTTGACCATAGGCTCTGAGATGGCGGCATTGAACATAAAACTCGTATGCGATCAGTACTGATAAAACTGAAGAGATGACGGTGACTTGGGTGTTCCTACGCATGTGTTGAGTGCATGCCACTAAAATCCAGAACTGGCAAGCTGGCAGGATGCTGTGTGATTGAGGAGGAAGAAGGCCACTAGCACTGGACATTGCCAAAGGTGCCTGGCGGCAGGCGGTATTGTCTTGGGAAAAACACCGCTTGGTATGTGGCTGACTACAGTCAAAACCAGCACACAATGCTGCCAATAAATGTGCTACAAAGCGGGAGGGAACCGAAGGCAAGGCTCATCAGCTGAAAACACATTTTTGGCTCCGCCATGTTGGAAGTACATGCGACTTGCAGATGCTAGAAGAAGGGGAGAGAGTGTGCTGATGGCAGCCCCTTCCTCACAATGGCATGGTCAATTCAATAGGGAACAGATTTCGGCAAAAGTTTTCCAGTGCAACACCTTGGCGAATCCATTTAGTAATTGGGCATGCACATGGTGGAAATACAATGACGAATCGGTCGGGTGTGTAACTGTTCGCTGCTACAGAACATTTCAATATCCCACGAAATGCCAATGAAAATGACTGATAACGATGCTACTTGAATTGCTATTGTTCAGGAAAATCCTCTTTAGTACTATAAAATTACCGTGGCAAATTGTGGAACATCAGTCAATGCTTCGACTGAAGCAGCTGCTTGTCAACTGTCGAGTAGCAATAACTGCCTTCACAAGCAGTTGCTTTGGGTCCGTTCGATTCGCCTGCAACACCTGAACCAGTTCACGAGGTGCTAAACTTAGCCATTCGTTTCAGCGGTGCAGCATTGACGACCTCTGAACCCTGCCATTCGTTTCAAAAGCTGCAGATAAGGTACAGCACTGGTTCACAATTTTCCAGCACCTCCTACGCTGACGATGCCGGCTTGGAGCAGACGACGTAGCACTTCGGCGTAGGCGCCGTACCCCCCTCTACTAACGCGGTGTGTTTTGCCAAGATGTTTGCGCCTCATAAACTGTTCGCATGTGCGGTTTGCCATCGTTAGTGTTAGGAGAATGGTGTAAATTGAGCAAACAGAAATAAGGCCTGCACCTTGTCAACACGTCATTCGTTTCTGTTGTCGCACTGTGCCTGCAATGCTGAACTCGCGCTGCTTAATTTCTGAACTTCGCATGCACAGCCGTGAACCGATCCCAATTAGTGCAGGTGAATCGACAACTTTTCGAAAGAGCTGATTTCACAGAAATTCTTGTTAGCGGCAGTGGCGTCGATTACGAGGAAAAAATCGGCTGGTTCGTGAGCGAAAATTAGGGATGCACATAAATGAATCTTTGGTATGAGTGAGAAATGAACCCAAGTCTTCTCCACGGCAAGTAGGTGTTCCAGTGCTTAAAAACTGCTTCGTAAGAAAATGCTACTATTGGAGATTGAACAGACGACACCTAGCGGCGAGCGAAGAAACCACACGGTGTGGGTTGCTCCTTAAGTCGTTTGCGAGTCTCAGTATGTTCACATGTGTGAGTGAGTCCTGCACATCCTTGGAAGGCAGCTTATTCTGTTACGGTGTCAAATGCTTGTACATACGCCTACGTAGTGTACACAAGCATTTCACCTTCTGAGACTAATGTCTAATAAGCTAGTGTGTGCACGTGTCAAAATCGGGCTAAGTGCAATAATCGTACCAATACCCTACAATCATTTCTCAGTCGATGCCACTTTGTCCTTCGAGCACATCACATAGTGCATCCACAAAGGCCGATTAGTGGTAAAAAATAGTCTTGTATGAATATCCAAATTTTTGAACGAATATTACAATATTCAAATTTGTTTCAATTTGAATTCATATTATTGAAAATTTCGAAGTACTTGAAATGAACGAATCGGTGTATATTAGTCTGCATGCAACCTCTTGTAAAGGTAGTTTCACTGCAGTAGAGGGGCTGCTGATCCGTGAAAGCACCTGCTTAAGTGTATGTTAGTGTGTATGTAACCCCCTGAAAAGGTGGTTTTAGTGCAGTAAAGATTTCCTCAGCCGTGAAAACATTTATAAAAATGTATGCACATTAGTTCGCAATTCTGGCTGCGGCGGCTGCATTTTCGATAAAGGCCAAAATGTCGTAGGCCTGTGTGCCCAGATTTGCGTGCATGTTAAAGAACCCCAGGTAGTCAAAATTTACGGATCTCTCCACTATGACATTCGTCATAATCATATGGTGGTTTTGGGACGTTAAATCCCACATATTAGTTTGCAAGCATACCCTTTAAAGATGGTTTTGCTGCACCAATGACTGCTAAACCGTGAAAACACCTATCCAGAGCAAATGCGCACTGCCGCGAAGCTTCACATTATGGTTTAATGAACCTTAACATCGATTCACTATTTTTGATTAAGTTTAAGAGCTTTTATAGAGCCTTATATGCTCTAAAAAACTTTAGTACATAACATACTTTGCAGGTTATCACTTGCATTTTGATAGAAGTCAAATCCTCCTACTATTCAGTTTTCTCAACAATATTGTGCAGGTTAGTCAGGTCATGACAAATATGAACTTTTTTATATGTGATATATAGTACTATATATGAATTAGATTAAAAATTATTCGACCAAAAACGCTATTTGCTTTGAACCTAAAATTCACTATATGCACAAGCCTAGTAAAAAAAGACCGCAATCCACGTATTTCTGTATGTAGAACAGAAGTTAAACATATAGAAATAAAGCAAAGAAAAACATCGAACTCCATGCAGAACTTCATTGTGACTGAATGCCAGCAACCCACTTATTGGCAGACTGCTCTTTTCCCTTGCAGAATAGAAACCTTAGCCCAGCTTTGTGCAATAATGTGGCAGTGGAGGTAGTATCTATAACAATTAGGCTGCAGTCAACGAGCTTTATTCACCGAAAATCGACTCCAACTGCCTACAGTGAAGTGCTGCTGCATACTTTTCAATGCGTTCCACCGACGGCCTATCCACACAAACATGGTGACGGCGCTGCTGCCTATAGTCCGATCTCACCACGAACGAGGAAATCATGTAGTGTAAGGGGACTCCCTAACACACGTAATATTGCGTGTCAGAATCGTCGAATCGCACTAGGCATCAAAACGTGAATCACACGACGAGTAGATGTCTACCGATTACAAACTGCACGTGACACCTCAATGACGCACAGTGGGTACTTTACTATTTTACGAGAAAAACAACTATGGCGCAGTGGGCACTTCGCAACTGTGCTTGCAGTAAACACTCTAGGGCAGTTTAAAACAGCCAACGTTATCACCCTTTCAGCATGGTTGAAGGCAATGAGCGTGGGGCTCTATTACGATATCAAGTTCTACTCTCGAAGGCGAGGCTCAAGTGACTTCCAAATTTTTTTAACATCCGTTCACCAAGAGCACTGCAAATATGACAACGTTGGTTCACATAGCAACAGCTCAGTGCACGAGACAGGTTTCAGGCAGAAACCAAAAACTTTGAAAAAAATTGTGCACGAAATGAGAGTGGACATTGTAAAAAAAGTTACAGATTCACCATAAGGACGAAGCAATGAATTCAATAGCAATATATTCCAATATTTTACGAAGCAAGGCTAGCATTTTCAGGAGCAATAATAATTGTATTAAACATGCACTGCCTAAGTAACAAAGTTTCCTGCGGCGCGGTCAGATGACCACAACAAGGCTCGTGCAAAGTGATGGCGTTGATATACGATGTGAGGCTGGCAGTCAACTCATTTATATCCGATCTCACGCAACTCTACAAAACGCTGGTGTAAGAGAACATGGTCGGTCCATGTACACTCTTGGCACCATTTTTTCGTTTGGAGCGCAGCCCATAGAAGCTACTGCCTGCTACGGGGGGGCACAAGGCGTGCACTGAGTGTTGCCGCAATAGGGCGGCAACCATTAAGTGTTTTCCCCTCACCTTGTTCGCTCACGAGATAAGGGTGCACGCAGACGACCCCGGCCAAAAGGGCGATATTCTTTTTGCAGAAAGAGGAGGCTGGTGCATACTTCCCCGTATGTATATATATATATATATATACACACACGTGAATGACGGTGGCGGCAGAAAACCAGTTAAAGACTGTCCATATAATTGCTATCGCAATAAAAGCATCAACACCCTTGTCCTATGTTGGCCATCTTAGATGTGTTTCATTGCAGTGCAATAATACAAGCAACATTAACAGACACAACTTAACATTTATTCAACTTGTATATGATGTAAAACAAGGATTTTTTTGTCCTAAAATTATCACAATCAACATTGTGGGTATGTGTGTTCTGCAATAAAAAAATGGCTAGACTATACAATCGTGTCTGTGCTAAACGTTTTCCATCAGTAATTCTTTGTCAGCGGGTGCACTGGAAAATAGGCCTTGTCCTGGAACACCTTGTCTGCAATCTGTCGCTTCCTGAGGTGCACTAGGTCATTCATCTCTGTAAAAATTGAAGAGGCTGGTAAACACAAGCAAATCCGCTATAAGAAGCCTCGCGGATTTGACAGCTCCTATGGTGAAAAAGCGGCATGGGCCAAGTTTCAAAAGATCAACACTTGCAACACCATGCTATGGTATGTAAAGTGCTGGATCAACAAAAATGGGCACAAATGAACGTACCGATAGGAGCATGAAAGTTTGTGTGTATTACTTCCATAAGCCCTAATGCTCAGGTAATGCGCAACAAAAATTCTAGGGTTTCCTATGATGTGTAAGAGTGTTTAAATTTTCCTTCAAAGACGTAGCTAGAGCGTTCCTGAATAAATGTGCCCAACAAACAGGTAGAGAACAGGTTCAATAGCCTGGCAAAGCTGACGAATATAACTATTAAAGGGAAAGACAACCGCTCAGAACTCTAATTCAGATAACCCCCAAATGGAAAGAATATATTCCATGGTTTAAAACGAATCCTATT